TGCCTGTACCATGCTAACCTGATTGCCTTTACCAAGCCCTGGGTTTCCTGGTAAATAGATGAACCTGGTTTTCTGATCACTCCAAATATTTATCATTCTTCTTTCCATCTTTTACTCATTGCTTACTCATTGACCCATCCATCCATCCACCCATCCATCCATCCATCCCTACTCATTGACCCATCCATCCATCCATCCATCCATCCATCCATCTATATATATTCAGCCACCAAATTATCCAACTACACACCCACTCATTTATCTATCCACTGACCTATTGATCCATGCACTCACCCACTCACTCATCTTTCTTTCCATTTATTCACATATTCTAACCATTATCCATCTTTCTACCCACTCACTCACCCACCCACCATTTCTCCATCTATCTATCCACCCATACATCATTAGTCTTTCCACTCACCCATCTATCTACCCATTCACCCCCACATCCAACCATCCATATACAAAATCACTTACCCACATACTCACTCATCCAGCCACCCACCCATGCATCTACCCACCTACTCTTTCATCCCCCTACCCAATCACTTATCCATCCTAAATATTCATGCATCTATCCACCACTTACCCAACCCACTCATCTATCCATCCATCCATCTACCTACACCATCTACCCATACCATCTACCCACCTACTCTTGAAACCATCCACTCATGGCCATCCCCATCCATCTACCACCTAACATTTTGGAGTGTGTATGTGTGAGGTTCTGTGCTAAGCCCTGAAATAGTTTTCTCCCTAGGAGGAAATGTGGGCACCACCAGAGAGTTCCCCACAGAGGGAAACAAATAAACTTGCACATAGTCCATTGAGCCCTTTTGTGGCCTGGACTTTGCCAACACCATTAGCTCTCAGGGTTAGTGGCCAAATAATGATGAAATGCAGGGTGAGGATGGATTGAGGCATGGGCTTCCAGCAGAGCAATTAGAGATAAGCTAATATCTCTTCTCCACAGAGGGGCCCAGGAACACCAAGATGAAAGGAGTAAGTCAGCAAAAGGAGGAAATTAAAGCCATAGAGATCAAGAGCTAATTAACTGATTCTCGTAAGCTAATATTTCATTAAAATCCAGCTCTTCTGCCTTTGAGGACTGATGTCTTCCTTATCTCCTCTCCATCACCCTTATCCACCCCTTCCTGATCTCATCTGTTTCTTCTGTGATCTCCCTCCCCCAATTTTATTCTTCCTTTAAGCCAACCTCTTCCATCTACCAGGGTAGACCTTAAAAGGCATAAGTCTGACTCCTGCTACGCTACTGACGAGGCCATGGGGAGAGGCCACATAGAGACTGAGAAGCCCTGAAATTCCACAGAAATGGAAAGCAGCTCAGTCATCCCAACATCCCAGCTGAGCACAGCTTGCTAGTTGTTCCTGCCAAGACACCATCTTAGATGTCGTAACCCCGCCTGACATCTGATTGCAGCTACATGAGAACTAATCCAAGTGAGAACAGCAGAAGAACCATCCAGCTAAATCTCTGTCAACCCACAAAACCATGAGAAATAATTTCATTTTAAGCCACTATATTTCGGGATTGTTTGTTACAAGGCTACAGATAACTGATACGGAGTCTTTGCATGTGCTATTTCCATTGTTTAGAATGTTTCCCCAATCCCAACCATCATTTTTCTCACACACTGGACTCCTATTCACCTTTCAAAACCCAGATCCAGTGTCATTTTTCCTGCCTCCCCAGAGTCTGGGTTAGTTCCTCTTTCTTCTGGGAAATTCTATTATGAGGCTAACTTAGGATACTCATTCTTCTGTCTCCTCCATTGGCTGTGAACGACAATAGTAACTCATTTAAAGTTCACAAAAACTCTATGAGGAAAATGTTATCATTATCCATTATCTCTATCTTACAGGTGAAGAAGCTGGGGCACAGAGAGATGCTACAAACCACCCTGGTATTAAGTGGCTCCGCAGAGAGTCAAGCCCACGCAGAGACTGTGCTCTTAACCACCATGGTATATGGTCTCTAAGTAGAGCCTAAATAGTAATGACATTTATTAACTCATTTAACACAAATTCCAGAAGCAGGGCACACCAAGGTCTATCACAGCAGCTGTTCAGAGGTCTCAGGATTCTCAGTTGATTTCTCCAAGATTCTCTTATTTTCATGATCGCAAGATGGCTGCCATGGCCACATTCTCACATGACAACTTCAAGAGAGGGAGGAAGGTGGAACTTCTCTCACATTTCTGAAGCTCCCCCACAGACTTCCCCGACCATCTCAGTGACCCATCCTGGGTCACATGACTACCATTAGTCCAATCTCGGGCAAGAGGTGCCTGATACCTATATTTGGCTTGGCGCTAGGTCTTGATTTGAAGATTGTACCTGTTTCTCTGACCACATGGTTGCCTGATATTTGAGGGAAAGCAGGGTTCTTTTAGAAGGAAGGTTGGGGCTTTGGCTCTTGGCCAGGCAATCAGCATTTCACCCGCAGTGGTCAGTCCTCAGAACACCTGAAATTAAGGCACACAGAGACCCTGTTCATTGCAAGGATCCACTCCCCTCCGCCTTCAGGTTTGCATAATGTGGGTACACCAGCCTCGTCTCTTTCAGGCCACTCTGAGGTTCCAGGGAGAGATCCCAGGGCAAAAGGATAGCACACTGCCAACTCTTCCCATTCATCGCCCTCCTTTCCGGCAGACACACCCCTCTGGATCACCTCTCAAATGGCCATGATTCCCAAACAGCAGTACGTGAAAGGAGTTTGAGTTCTCACTGGTCTATCATGGAATGAGAAAAATAAGGCCAGTGGAATGAGATTCCTATAAAACTAAATTGATTTCATTTAAAGGAAAGCCATTGTTGACTTTCCTACTTAAACTCTCCAGTGGCTTCCCGGGGCACTTAGAGCAGGCTCCTGGCCATAGCTGCCAAAGTATGCTCCAGGCTCCTCTCCTGCCACCCCTCACCTGGCCCCATCATCCCAGCCTTCCTGGCGTTCTCACTGTTTCTCAAATGCACCAAGCCCTTTGCCTCACTGGGGTCTCTGCATTTGCTGTTTCTATTCCCTGGAATGTTCTTGTCCTAGATCTCTGCAAGGCGGGCTCTTTTTCATTCAGACCTCAGCTCACACGCTGGGAAAGAGATCTTCCCCGACCATCTCCACAGCCATGGCGACCTCCATCTCCATGTTACCGCCACATCCCATCGTGCTGTTTGCTCGGCTTCGGAGCCCTCTCAGTACCTGGCACTGTATGCCTGTCGACTTGCTTCTTTGTTGGGTTGTCTCTTCTGCCTGAAAAGAAGGTTTATGAGGACAGAGACCTTCCCGGACTATGGCAGTCTCCTCCTCGCCTGTCTCCCTGCTTCCTGCCCCCCACTCCCCCAATCTCAAAGCCCATTTTTTACACACACAGTAAGAGGGATTCTGTTAGACTATGTCAGATCCTGTCCCTCCTCTACCCAGAGCCCTCCATGGCTCCCAGCCCCACTGGCCTCCTTTCTGTTCCTGGAAACTGCCAAAGAGCTTCCTACCTCAGAGCTTTGCATTCGTTGTTCCATCTTTCTGGAACAGTCTTCCTCGCATACCCACTTGGTTTACCCCTCTCACTGCCTTCCAGGCTCTGTTCAAAAGTCACCTTAAAGAGGCCTTCCCTGCCAGCCCTATGTAGAATTGCCCTTCCTCATCCCCTTCCCTCCCTTATTCCTCTCTTTGGTACTTATCACCATTAGACATACTTTATATGTTATTTATTTACCTAGTCTAGTGCCGCCACCCCCATGAGAATGTTACTCCATGAGAATAAGGATTTGGGGGGCCTCTGTTTTACTCACTGCTGGGTCCCTATTGTCTGGGACAGTACCTACCACCTGTGAGGTGCTCAAGATATTTACTTTAAAAATAGACATAACAATTTTATTACAGTATAATTAACATATCATAAAATTCACCCATCTAAATTGTAAAAGGCGATGGTTTTTAGTAAATTCACACAATTGTGCAACCATCACCACAATCAATTTTAGAATATTTCATCGCCCCCAAAAGAAACCCCATACCCATTAGAGTCACTCCCTATTTCTCCCCATCCCCTGGAGAGAAAGGCTATTTCTCAGGCTCCCGTGCAGCAAGGAGTGTCATGTGACTAAGTTCTGACCAATGGGATGAGAGCAGGAGTTTTCTCTTCTTGGCTTCTCGCTTCTTTCTGCTGCTGTCTGGAATGTGAGCGAAATGGCTGGAGCTCAAGCAGCTATACTGGAACCTGAGGTGGAAACCACTGGTTTCAGATGCTGGAGGGAACAGAAGGAAAGGGCTTAGAAATTGTGGAGATGCCACACCACCTCTGGTCTCCTGTATCTGCATGACATAGAAAGAAATGTCTGCTGTTTTGAATGTAACATTTTAATGTAAAAATGCCACTGTGATACCTGAGATGTCTGTCACTCACAGCCAAATCCAGTCCCAATGAATGTGCGTGCCTCCGCGGTCCCCTCACAGATGCGGAAACTGATGTGAGGGGCATTTGCCTCAAGACATTGTTATTTACTTAAATACTTGGGAGAAAAGAAATTTTTATTATTTTTCCCAAATCCAGTTTCATGCATTTTACCCCTTTTCTTTTTAAACAAATGCATATGTTATGGCTAAGGATAGAGAATGTCCAGTGAATTTTTAAGGGTTGCTTTTGGGTTGTAAGCCTTCATGGTCCTCTGTGGGTACCCTGTCCCTCTCCTGCCACCGGGAGGATCACTGACAGAAAGATCGTGAGTGTGGTCTCAGGAGGCAGGGCGGCCAGCTCTCGAATCCTCTGTCTACCACATATTAGCCAATTGACCTTGGACAAGTTACTAAATATGAAGATAACGTTTGCCTTGGAAGGTGACTGGAGGTACAACCTGATTCTAAAGGCCTTGTCCCAGAGCCAGGTACACAGTAGGTGCTTTGTGCTCCCTTTCCAATAGCTAACCTTGTCATTCTGGACACGGCCGACTCTCTCAATCTGAATCACACTCAGAGGCAGTTCCATGTACAAGAATGATTTAATATATTTCAGCATGTTTCCACTCCACGATATAATATGAAAATAGAACTCTTTATTTAAACAGCAAGCATAATAATCACTGCTATTCACGAAACACTGTATTTGTTAAAAAAAAAAAAAAAGACATCAAAATCAATCACTTTTGGCAAGACGCTTTGACGCTCAGAGCCTGTTTCTCCATCTGGAGAATGGGCAGGTGGACTGTCACCAACTCGCTTTTCTCAGGGCCTGTTGGTGGGAGAAGACCCTAGGTGGCACTCAGACCAGGCATAATGCACAGTTGACCCACGTGGCAAGCAGCTTACTCCTTTTCCTGATTATCAAGGAGAAAGTCTCAGGGTGGCCTAGCTTGAACGCCACCCAGATACCCACTCGTCTCATTCTGTAACAGAAGAGACAGGTCTCGGGCTCTGAGCCTTGGCAGCACCAGCTTGGGGACCCCCGCTCCAGTCACTTTGTATTTTTGGCAATGAACGACATACATTGTTCATTATCGGCAGTGATCAAAAAAAGTTCCCTTTTTAAAGAAATCTAAGTTTAAAAAATGAGTCTGTTTAAAGGAAAATATCAGGTAAACAACAATACAAAATATAGCAAAAAATAATAATGCTCACATCAAGGAAACACTTCATTAGGTCAATCTCAGGGCGTTTCTAACACACGTCCCGCAATTTTGTGACTCTCAAGCAAGGTATGAAGAAATACAATGACATCCGGCTACCTTCCTAATGAACCTGTAGCAAGGAGCTAACCCACTCATCTTTCCCTCTTTTCTCTATAACTTATATTTTGTAAAAGAAGAAAGAAAAGAAAAATAAAGATTGAAACAAGGGAAGGCTTAAATCATTGTCTCCTAAGCTGTACTTCAATATCTCTGGTACCAGCTGGAGCTGCCTGGTGGGAGAATTATCTCTTCTTAATGACTGTGGCTCCAAGGAGGTGCCACCTTTAAAGGAAATTGGCCCTTTTCTCAACCTAGGAGAGAAGATAGTCAGCGACAAAGCAGCCCCGATTTGGAGGAGGGGAGGCATAAAGGCTTTTCCCCAGCATGCCGGGAGAGCGGCCTTGCACAGAGGTCTTCCTGCAGCTATTTCTGCTGGCCTTCTTCCTTCCCTTCCAAGCCAGGATGAGGCAGCCCAGGGTTGCCATAGAAACCGGCTCCGTCCTCCCACAGGAGGCTGCCAGCCCTGATTTCCTGCAGAGTTAAGAAGCAGGCAGCAGCGGGGGTCACCCAGGCATGAAGATGGGTTTCCCTGGGGATATCCTGCCTCCTGCCAATCACAGTGTCTATCTGGGAATCCTGGGGGTACCTAGAGGCTGAGGGCTGGGGAAGCCCCCAAGCCCTGACACTGCTCTAAGAAGACACTAGCCCCTGAAACATTCAAAATTTCAGGTTCCCCTCTTCTCCTTCAACTAAAGCTAAGGGAACCTAGCTGCGTGCGTGCGTGCCTGCATCTCTCGAGTTATATCCACCCATGGGTGCCTCTGGCTCTGCTGTCAGACAGAACTGCCCCTCTAACAGCCCCCTGAGCCCAAGGAATGCATTTGCTATTGGGACAATAAGTCTGTTTGCCGGATTCTACCAGCTTGTAAACTGTGCAGTTACTTCACCTCTCAGACTGTTTTCTCATCTGCAAAAAGGGCGTAACCATCTTCTTTGCAGAGAAGCTGTGAGAAGTAGAAATGATATGTCTCCTGTGCCCATCACAGAAATTTAGAGAGTTTTCAATAAACAGGACCTAATACTAATACTTGCCATCATAATAAAGGCTTCTAAGCAATTTTTCTCTTTGAACTGTTTTTCCCCCCCAAGCTGATGCAAAGGCAGGTTTTCATCACTGATCTTTTTGTTTAAAAGGTGGTGCACCCAGAAGGATGGGCCATCGGTCTGAGAACCAGTCAGCAGGTTCCCACCGCCTCCTACAATATCCCTTCTAAGAGTTAGAACAGGGTTCTCAAACTCGAATGCCTTCAGGAGCCGGGAGAAGGCATACTGTGAATGGAGAAGCAGAAAGAAAAATTTCCACCAGGGAGAAGCCCTGGTGAAGGACATATGCCCCGGATAAGGGAGGAGGCTGCTTCTCAGCGAGGGTCAGCGGTCACCCTTGGGAATATGGGCCCAGTGTGGCCACATCTTCCAAGTTTTCAAGAGACGATGAACCTCTGGAGTCAACTCTCCCAACGATATGAACACAACTAACGTATTATTTTTTAAAAGTGCAGGCTGAACAAAACAGGTCTGCAGACCGGATCACGCCCGTAGCTGGAGCTTCTGAGCTAGAATGGAGGAAACCAACGCCTCCTCTTTCTTTGGCTTGCCCAGTGCAAGGAGCCTGGCTGCTTCCTTCCATCAGGGCCATCCCGTGGGGGGAGGTGTCTTTCTTATTCCCGACACGAGTGTCGGCTCTGGCAAAGCTCGTCCCATTTGCAGCCTGTAACTCTGCAACAGAGAACCCTACTGCTCAGAGCCCAGTGTCCGGAGGGTGCTCACGATCGGTGCCTTGGGTGCTCCAGCTTTGGGAAGACTCTTCTGCGTTTTCTCAAGTATCACTGTGAACAGAGAGATGCGGGAACGGGGCACCTCGGAAAGCAGGGGTTCTAAGGACTCCTTTGGCTTCAGCTAGTTTACTAATCATCCGGGGACAGAGCTTATTTCGAGGGACCCAATTGGTCTTTTTATGGCCAGCATCTACCCAGAGTGGTTAAGGCCCTGACGGCACCTTGGTCAAGGACTTGGAGGGTGGCCCCTCCGGCAATTGGGGGCAGAGCAGTCAGGACTCCAAGTCTGAGCTGTCTGCCCGGCTGGTGTGGGTATCGTAAGGCGAGAGGAACACAGTGAGCTGGGAGGAGAAAGAGCCTCATTTTGGACCTATTCCTTCTCTCGGCTTCCTGTCTTCGCCCTCCCCTGGACCAACCTTCTAAGGAGAAAACAGGAAAATGCTAACACTGGCACTATTGAGTGTTCGAAGCTCTGCACCCGGGCCCGATGCGAACATGGAAAGTTAGGCGATGGAGGAGGGCAGGTGGGGTGGGGGCAAGCCTGGAGGTCATGGCCGGATGCGGTAACGGATGGGCACGTCGCGTTCCGGCTGCATCAGCCCAAAGCCGTACCGGCTGAGGTCAAACTCAGGGATCTCCACATCTGGGTCGATCAGCTCCAGGTCAAAGTGTGCCAGCACCAGGACTATAAACCTGTGGAGAGATGGTGTTGAAGGTGTGAAGAGAGGGAGCGTGGAGATGCATCTGGAATGAGGCAGGAGAGCAACAGCTTCCTCCTGAGTCTGACCCCAGCTCAGAACACAGGCGTCTACTGCTCACCAAAAGCCCATGAGCCCCTCCACATGTGCCACCCTGTGTGGTTAAGCACGCCCATGGTCTAGCTCCGGGTGACAGACGGGCTGTGAGCAGAAGGGACGTGTCAATTCTACACCAAAGCGTTTCAGAGCCAGGGCATGACTTCCCAGCTCTCCCTTCTGCCTGACAGCTGTGTGGGCCTCATGCAGAGATGGTGGAGCTGTAAGCTGGAGAGAGCCTGGCCCCCGAGTCTCTGCATGGGGGGAGAGGAGCCCCCAAACCCACAGGCAACTTTGTGTGAGTGGGAACCAAACCTTTGCTGTGACAAACCACTGAGACTGGAGTGGGGTTTGTCACAGCAGCAAAGTCTAACTTCTAATTAGTATGCACGGTGACCCCCCCCAAACACACCATACTCATCCCACTCCCCCAAAAAAGCCCCCTAGAACCCTACTGTCCTCCCTGGTCGGGGCTGCCACTGTGCGATTAGAAAGAGGCACCCCTCCCTCGAGACACTTTACTGTGTCTGCAGGAAAACTGTCAAAATGCGCCAGCTTTGCAAGAACAGGCACTTTACTGCCATCTTCTGGAAAACTGTCCCAAGCATACAAAGCATGTACGTGATGTAATCAGTGTGCTTGTAACCGCGGTGGCAGCCTCACCTGATGTGAACAGGTTCCCGCCCACCTGCTTTACCTTATTTAGCACCACCTGTGTCAGTAAGGGTCGGGATTGGATCTTCACCTACTTTGTGTCCCACCTACCCCAGACCCGGGTGCCCCAGGCAGGACTGGGCACATGGCAGGGAGTCTCTGACTGTACTGAATGCATGATGAAGAGAGAAGACAAGGATCAACGAGGATAGGGTGAAGTCAACGCCCCAGACAGGACAGTTGGGTGCTAAGGGCGTGTGATCCTCAAGTTTCTTTCCCAGGCTGGGCCTGGGTTTCTCCATCGGATCAGAGAGGTGGGATGTGTCCTGTCTAGATCTGTAGGATGCGAGAGGGCGAGTTTACGTGGGGTCTGCGGGGCTCTGTACCCACACCTGGATTTGGATCCTGGTGCCTCCACTCACCAGGTACGTGACCTGGCAAATGACTCGACCTCTCTAGAGTCAGTGTCAGACTGGCACTTACCTGACAAGGTTGTCATGATGATCGAGATAAAAACTAACAACAAATTAGCTAGTTTGCTGAAACACTATATGCCAGACGCTATGCTAAGCATTTAGTACCTATTATCTCTCTTTATCTGTCCAAAACTTCATGAGGTGGGAGCTACAGTTGGTTTTGCTACAGCACCTGTTTTGAACACATGAGTTTATTCCACTGTAATTGACACATTAAGGCGCGAATGAAGCGTAACGTAAATTTTGAATTAGCTTCTGTGTGGTTTCATCTGCGAGAAACACGAAGCGCATGCACCCAGCGGAACCAAGCTGAGCAGGAATTCACAAAACGCACACACCTAACCACTATCCACCGGCAGCCTCGGCTCTCAGCTCCGTGTGTGTGTGTGTGTGTGTGTGTGTGTGCTATCCACCGGCAGCCTCGGCTCTCAGCTCTCAGCTCCGCGCGCGCGCGTGTGTGGCCACACCCTTCACATCAGGTGTCCCGTTTCAGACAAGCCTCCCTCTCCCCCGTCGCACAGTGACTCCTAGCTGCAGCCCCACTCCATCACCTACTTGCACAGCGAACTTCAGGCTGCTTTCTACGCTCTGTATTTATAATAGCACTTAGATGTGTTTTTTAACCATTTAATTTGTGTAAAGCTATACTGCCATTTTTTCCCTAGGTTCTTATCTTTTTTTCCTAATGTGTCAATAATGAGGGTTTTGAATGTTGGGCCCTGGCTCCCTTGTCCCCACAATTCCTGTGGTTTTTATTGCGTGATTTCTCATGGTGCAGTGATTGTCAGGAACCCACAGGAAGCATCGCGATCTCCGTTTTACTATTCAAAAAAACTGAGGCCAAGAGGATAATGCAATGTGCCCATTCACGTAGCATAATGTCTGCACACGGATAATAGTGATATTAGTAACTGCAATAACAGCTAACATTTATTTAGTGCCGACAATGAGCCAGGAAGTACGTTAAGTACTTGGATCAGATTCCTTTGTCCCGACACCCCTGGGATACGGTATGACCAGTACGCCCATTTTACAGTTAAGGAAATGGGCACAGAAGATCAACCAGCTTACGATTACATGGGGGTTGGACAGGGTGGATATCATAACCTCTGGTCCAGTCTGTTGTGATTGGGGGCCAAGGCTCTTGGGGTTGAGGGAAAAGAATGCACGAGGCATTAAAAATAACCAAAGGGCACGATGACATTTGGCCAGTTTCTGCCAAGAGGCTCTGAACCTGCACAGCAGCTGCAGAGAGCTGGCCACGGTCAGCTGCGCGGACTGGCCGACGTATGGTTTTCCAGGTGTTGGAGGGAAAAACCTGTTGCCAGATCTGATTATTTCAAAAGAAATTGGAAATCTGGTTTTTTTATGTGAGCTCTTCTGATTCTTAAAAGTTAGCACACATTTTAAGAACAAAAGTAAACATATTTGTGGGCAGGAGATGGCTCACGGGCCATCCATTTGGAGCCTCTGCCCTCAACCCTTCTCCTGGCTGACCGAAGAGGAGGGCGCATCCAACCAGACCCAGCAGGAGGCTCCCCTCCCCCAGCCCCCTTGCTCCACACTCACTGTTTGATGCTGTTGATGGCATAAGCCCTCCCCAGGCACTGATTGTGCCCTGCTCCCCACGGCATGCTGTGATTCTTCAGTCGCTTCCCATCCTTGTAAAAGTCTTTCTTTTCTGATCCGTCGGGGTTCAGGAATCGGTTGTATTTAAATACCTAAAATAGGGAGAAGGTCACTTTCTGACTTCACCCCCACGACATGCATGCACGAAGAAAAAGGTGTGAGGGTGTTCACCCCAGTCTTGTTTATAAGAGGAAAACACTGGGAACAACATGAAGGTCAATGGACAGAGGGCTGGTTTATAAAACAGCAGCTATTCAGAAGGTTGAGCTTGGTCTGTGTGTGCTGACAATGGAAAGAGTTTTTAAGACCAGTTTTTAGTGAAAAAGGCTAGTATCGAAATAGCATGCATTATATGATGCTATATACACACCTACCTATTCATAGGTGTGTGAGTGCGCTGTGTGTATGACTGTAAAGGCATGAAAATAATTTAAAAGATACACTCCCAACCATGGTGAGGGAACTCTGTGGAAGAGGAGAGCAAAGGGAATAAAGAAAAAATTTTACTTTCAAATATATACCTCTACATATTTCTATTTTGTAAGTATATGTTACTTTTGTAAGTTAGAATAAAATAAAATTATTTTTAAAAAGGAGAATGCCAATTTCCTTTGGTTACTGTATAGAGTGATGAGATGAAGATTGTGTCTGAGCACAGGGTGTGGCAGAGTGCTACATGAAAGACAGGTGAATGGACCAGCACGCAGACTGGTGAGTGGGTGGG